GGGGGGAAAAAAAAACCTCCTGACCCTGACCAATTTAACACATTTATGTCTTCATGCTCTTGCGAGGGTTATAATCTGCCTCTCAGACACTCATCGAGGTCCTCGTATCTGAAGCAGCAGGCTGTAAACCATCCACACGTTCACAGAAACAAACACGGGCCGTGAGGGGTTTTGCTTCTGTTTTGTTTTTATTTCTGTATGAAGGAATGGGTGCTTCATGCCTCTTCCCTTCGGGTACCCTGGGTGGTGCAGGGGAGTTGTCTGGTGGGCCTGCGTGATTATCTCCTGGTTAGTGGGAGGGGCAGAGAAGAAAGAAGGGGTCACCTCCTGTCACCAAGAAAAACCCCACACTCAACTTGTGGCTCTTCAGGTACTGCTGGACTACAACCCCCATCGGCCCCAGCCAATACAGCTTTCAGCTGAGGGAGGACGCCACCAGCACCACCATCTGGAGGAACACTCATGGCCCATCCTTGGCTAAGAGAGAGAGAGATTTTTTTTGGAGGGGGGGGAAGGGGCAACACACCAGAGCCTCGGATCTCAGACTTGAGGACGGGAGAGGCCCCTTCCCACGCCATGATTCTGTGACGTCTGGCTCCGCGGTGCAGCCTCCCTGTGGAAAACGTGTGGGTTTCATGCCGTCACGGATGAACCTGTGAATGAATGACCTCCGAAAGGTCTCCTCATGAACAGGTTCTGCAGACTCAAGGCTGGGGCTTCCTTGAGGGAGCAGGCCCATCTCCCCCTTCGCTCTGTCCCCTTTTCCTGCTCCCTTCCTTCCCCGTCGGCCAGCCCGGCTGCCTTCTCCGCTGAGGCCTGCCCGACCCTGAGGCGCTCCAAGCTTGACAGCCCGTTTAGTCATGCTCTTTTCTAGGAAACACGAAGGCAACACATCCTGTGACGTCCAACGTCGCCCGGCTCTCAAAGTCACCTCCAGAGAGAGAGAGAGAGAGAGAGAGAGAGAGAGAGAGTGGTTGGCGACTTTTCCCCCTTCCGTCTCCCTCCGGCCTGGACTGAGAAGGGAAGGGGGCCGGGCCGGGAGGTGTGACGCCACGTGGAGGGGTTTTCCCTGCACCGGGCAGGTGGGAGCATGTGATGCCTTCGCTGGAGGAATGACACACGCACGGCGGCGCAGGTGGAGCAATGCCAGGGGAGGCTCAGCACCTGCCTTGCAAGCAGGTTTATGAGGAGGAGGAGGAGGAGGAGGAGGAGAGGATCTTGTGACCCAGAAGGGTTCAAAACCTGCTCTCCCTCCGTTGACTTTTCACCCACTTTCAACATCCTCGCCGTGTGTGCGGTTTAACCCCTTGCAGCCACCCGGCCTTGCACTTCTCTGGCCATTCTCTGAGGCATTTTATTACACCCAACTGCAGAGAAAACATGTCGTGCTCTGTAACCCTGGAGGTCCATCCTGGGGCCAGCGTGGTGTCGTGGTTAGAGCATTTTGCTATCGCATGGGTGAGGTTGATGCCAAGACCCTCTGAATCATGAAACTCCAGGAGTAACTTTGAGCTCCCCACCCTCTTTCAGCCTGGCCTACCTTGCAGGGTTATGAGAATAAAAGCAGGGAGGACACCAGCCTAAGGTAACTGGACAAAAGTTGGCCATACATACATAACTAACAAACCACTGCAACATTATAACTTTCAATCACAATTTCTCCTTCTTCCTGCTTTCTCTGTATCCTTGTGGGTTTCTTTCTGAAAGAATGATACAAAATAGTTCCTCTTTGCCTCAAAAATCTATCGATCAGTAAGATACAAATAATATACTGTATATATACTGTATTTTTTTAGCATACGGCAGCACCTGACATTTTCAAAAGCCCCTTTGTCATGACCGCCCACGTCAGTGTCACCAAGCGAGAGTTTCCAACTAGGCTGGTTTAAGGGTGTCCCTCGGTTCCCATCTGGCTGGACAAGTTGCTTCCTCAGCCACCGACCTCCCAGATACGGTTCGCTTTCCAGCAGGGCTGATTTGCACAAAGGCATGGCACATGGTGCCCACCCAGGACATGGGTGGTGTTTGTGGGTGGTGGGGGGGAGAGGGTTGGACCTCGAGGAACACATCCGACACCCTTGATCCCGAACACCTCTCCTTGCGAAGGGGTGGTGGCGGGGGGGGGCCTCCCGGCGATTCCGCAGAGCCCCTTCCTTGCGGGTCCTTCTCTTGGACCAGATGCCTCAGTCAGACAGTGGGAAAGGCGCCCCTTTGGGCTCCAGCCCCTCCTGCTTGGAAAAGCTGCCTTTTGGAGTCGTATTCCCCCCCCCCAAAAGGGACTGTTTCCCTCTCAGCTCTGCCCACAGAAGACAAAAGATGCCACTCGCTTTAAGCTTTTGGCATAGAGTTGGGATTGAATCCTGCCCAGAAACAAGCCTTAAGCACCTAGGCACCCCAAAGTCGGGATATTTGCTAATTTCAACACTTGCAGTGTCTTTTTAACCACATGAGCCCAGCTGATCTCTGCAGTTTCTGAGCCCCATGACGACCAAACAACAGATCAAGACGTGGATGAAAGGAGTGAATTGAACAAACATGGGACAAGCAGGCAATTGGATTAATGCAAAATGGGCTCTATTCCTTAAATAAACCGTACACTCATTGGTTGGGTCACAAAAACCACAGATAGATAGATAGATAGATAGATAGATAGATAGATAGATAGATAGATAGATAGAGAGAGAGAGAGAGAGAGAGAGAGAGAGAGAGAGAGAGAGGTGTGATTTGACAGTACGGAGCAACAACCCCAGAACAGGGAACCATGGCTTCCTTCACATAGATAGATAGATAGATAGATAGAGGTGATTTGACAGCACGGAGCAACAACCCTAGAACAGGGAACCATGGCTTCCTTCACTGGAGGAACTAAAACTCCTCGAAAAGTGGGGAGGAGTATTTGAGAAGTGCAGGACACTTCCTGTGCACCACCTAACTTCTGGGGCTCAGGGAAATGCCTTTCCTTCCATGGCCCCTCCTGGGATCCGGCCCCCAGTGCAACAGCCGACTCGGCCCTCTTCAGGTCCAGGTTAGGGATTTCCTCTCGGCTTCCCACATTGAGGTCGTCAATGGCCCTCACCAGCTTCCTTTCATTCTGAGCCTCAAAGCAGCAAAGAGGCCAGGGAGGGCGGGATCCGCGAGCCCAGCTAGGAGGAAACACAACAGGGGTGCTTTCCGTGGATGAGCCACAGCCAGAACTGCCGGGTCGTCTTTGCCGCACGGGCTGAGCAGAGTTTCCGGGCCGTGGTGCCTCCACGATCTGGCATGGAGGATCCTGGGCTCCTCCGTCCAGTCAATCTAGAGGCACCAGATTAAGGAAGGCTTGCTTGCCTTAGAGGCTTATCCACATACCCAGGATCTTCTACAGCCGGAGGTGTTAATAATGGACGGATAGAAGAGAGATTGCAGGTCCTTCTGAGCTCTCCGGGGTTTGTTCACCACACACACTCTCTCTCTTTAGATGTGCCAGAGATGAAGCCCAGGAGTTTCCAGGTGTGAAGTAAGATCTTTGCCAACTGAGCTGTGGCCAGGATCCTGCCCAGCTCTTGCCTAGGTGGGCCAATAGTCTATCAGGCTGCTGGAAGCAAGGAAGGAAGGAAGGAAGGAAGGAAGGAAGGAAGGAAGGATGGATGGAATGGAATGGAATGGAATGGAATGGAATGGAATGGAATGGGAAGAAAGAAAGAAAGAAAGAAAGAAAGAAAGAAAGAAAGAAAGAAAGAAAGAAAGAAAGAAAGAGTGATTTGGTTTTTGTTTCAAACTGGGCCAGCACACTCTCTCCGCAGAATGTGCACAATTTGGCATTTCGCAGGACTCTTGATCTCGGGGGCGGGGGGAGGACATAGCTCAATCCACACTGACCCCAGTCTCTCCATCACCTAACTGGCCCTCTGCCTCCTTTAAAGTCTCCTCTTTATAATGAAGATTTGTGTGGGGTTTTCTTAGTGGCAAATCCCCAAGAGAAGATTAAGGAGACCTCACAGGCGTAGCCTGAAATAAGGGGGAAAAGTCTGGCTTCTATTCAACTTCCCTCTCTCTTAAAAACTTGGCTCTTTAGGCAGGCCTTCCCTCCAGTCAATTAATTGTTTCATTTCTTTAGTTTCCCATCTTGAGAATGTATATATCCACTAACTAGTTGGTTGTATCATTAGGTTTTAGTAAGTATATTATTCTATTGTATTTTATCATTTTTTGTAAGCCGCCCCAAGTAGACTTTGTCTAGAGGAGTGGAGTATAAGTCTAAATAAAGTAAAGTAAAGTCTCTTTTTAGCTGTGGAATCAAACAAACAGAAAAAGTTTTCAGATTGAACTTAAGTTAAGGAGGTCCATATTTTCCTATGATTTGTTACTCTACATCACTTTAAAAGTCAGAGGTCTAACTCATGTAATCAACCACAATTTCCTCAGTGAAATTCTCCCCAGAGCCCCATCTCCCACATTCTTATCAGAGCTTGATAAAGCTTGTACTACAAATCTCATTATCCCCCACCACCACCAGTGGGCCATGCTGACTGGAGGATTATTGGAAGGGTAGTCCAAAGAGTTACTTTTTCCCAAGCCCTGGTTTTTAACCAGATCAGAGGCAGGGAATCTTTGTCCCTCCAGATCCAGCCCCTACAATCCCTGACTATTGGACTGAGGCTGATGGGAGTTGGAGTCCAGTGTCATGGGGCAGAAGCGGTGGGGGGGGGAGAGGTTCTTTGCCCCTGGAAGACGTATATTAAAGTCCAAAGGCAGGCAGCAGGGGCTGTGGCAGGGCCTGGGCCAAACCTGGCCACCCAACCTGAAGTTAAATAGTTGGTTGTAACAGAAGTATTTGTTGAATGCGAGAAGAGTATTGCAGAATAAAGAGAATGCTTCTTGCTGAGGAGGAAGTAAGCAGACTCGGCTATTTCCCAAGGGGAGGAGGAAAAGAAGCCGGAGTTTCCAGGTGTGAAACATTCCTCTCTCGCGCACGGTATAAATGGAGAACAGGTGGCCAGCTGGCTTCAGAGCACCTATCCTGTGGGCACCGGGACCAGAGCCCTCCCCCTGCAAACGGGCGGCAGCAGCAGCAGCAGCAGCAGCAGCCTAAGAGCCAGCGGGCGGTCCAGCCAGCCAGCCAGCCAGCTGCATCCCCTGCCTGCCTGCCTGCCTGCCTCCGCCTCCCGTTTCCACTGCCGACTCAGCCAAGATGGTAAGGATGCTACTCATGCCACCTCCAGGTGCCAGAGGGAAATGCTCCAGAGGCAGCCGGTGACTCGCTCTGGAAAGCTTCCGACCGACTGACCGACCGACCGACCGGCTGGCCAGAGAGCACCAGGGGGTCACAGCCTGGTGGGGAAAGGTGGCAGGAGAAGTTTCCTGGAGGAGCCTTCCTTGAGGGTGTTGCTCTGTGGCGGCCAGGGCGCCTGAGGGGGGTCTTGGGGGAGCCCGAGCCCTCCAGGCCAGAGCTTGGCCCGGGGGCTTTGGGGGTGCCACAACCCCACATGCCCACCCGGCCCTGGAATGGGCAGCAGGCACGGCCCCCTGAGACCCAGCTCTCCCCATGGACGCCCGGCGGCACCCACAAGGAACATCTCCCCGGATTGTAGGCAGCCTGGCATGGCTTTCTCCAGCTGCTGCCAGGGTCTCCGTCGGATGGAGGCAAAAATGGGGGTCCTTTTGGGTCCTGTTGGTTGTGATATATTACTGCTGACCTTTTTAAAAGGTAGGTTTCTCCTGGTAGATTTTTAACACGGCGAAAACTGTTTTTTCAACGTCAGAGCCTCTGTCGTGTAGCAAGTAGAGAGCTGGACCGTGACTGAGGAGGCTTGGGTTGGACCGTGGAAACTCACTGGGTGACCCCGGGGCTGACCACGTTCTCTTGACCTCTGACTGACCTGCCTCTCTGGGAGGATGAAGGTGTGGAAGAGAAAAGAGCCTCACGTAGGCGTCTTGCGCTCCTCGCAGGAGAGGCGGAAGACAAAAGCGACCGAAGCAATAAACCCTGGTCTCCGGGTACCCTTGCTTTAGCTGCCATGAGCGGCAATTCGGTTTGGGCTGTTTTGAGGCCAAGCTCTGGAACCCCTTTACTTAACGGGGCTTCTTTACACCCTTGCTCAGACGTTAAGCGTCTAAACCGCATTCATTCAGGCATACATCCTCCAGCATGTGTTCAGGTGGATGAAATCAAGGTGGATGGGAAAAGGTGTGTTTAAAAATAGACAATCGTCATTTTGAAGCCTTGGTTGTGTTGATTGTTTGGAGGTTTATTTCCTGACTAATAAAAGTTAGGGTTTGTTTAGAGATCACTGTGAATTAAGCCATGCCTCCAGGAGAAAGTAAACTTTTCTGGAGGAGGCAGAGGCTCATTTCCCCATGCCCCTCACCTTCCTTGTGGCCCCCTCAAGGAGAGAGGGGGGTCTCGAGAGGGAAAAGATGATGGACCGGTTGAAGCCGTGGAAGGAGCAGTGGACAAACCTGGGCAGATTTACTCTTCAGTAATTCCCAGTCTATTCAATGGTGCTTGCTCCCAGGAAAGTGTGCTTTGGACTGCATGTTTGGACTGGATTATCCACACACACACACACACACACACACGACTGTGTGTGAGACTCTCAAGACCTCTGAAACATCACACAAAGCAAACAAAGCGAAGCCATAAGGGGGTGAGGGTGGGGAAATTCTGAAGCATGGATTCATTTAGCCTTAAACAGGTTCAAATGCTGTTTGTCCTAATTCAGTTTTAAGAGAGAGGGAAAGCATCCTCTGCAGTATGGACGGTGCCAGACAAAAGCCGGGTTGCGAGGAGTGGAAAGGAATAGGTTCTGAAGTGTTTCCGTTCACCTTCCAAATATGTCAGAAAAGCCCAAGATGCAATGGCTGAAGCATCCTGGCCTCCCTTTGTATGGAGTGCCCCAAAGGAGAGGAAGACAGGACCCTGCCCCAATGATCTTACAGTTTCAGATTGCACAAGGGAGAGCAAATGGCTATGGGGAGAAAGAACCATGCACCCCTTTTGGGATGGGGCAGACCCATTTTTTCCAGAGCTTGCACATTTAAGCACATGGGGGTTGGTTTAGGGTTTAGGAGCCTCGTGGCGCAGTGGTTAAACCGCTGTACTGCAGCTAAAACTGTGCTCATGACCTGGGGTTCAAATCCCAGGTAGCCGGCTCAAGGTTGACTCAGCCTTCTATCCTTCCGAGGTGGGTAAAATGAGTACCCAGCTCGCTGGGGGGGGGGGGGAATGTGTAGCCTGCATCATTAACTTGTGAACTGCCCAGAGAGTGCTTGAAGCCCTATGGGGCGGTATATAAGCAGCACACTTTGCGTTTACTTTGCTTTTTATTTTGACTGTGGAGTCCCACTGCCAGCCTGACCCTTTCCTGTCATCCTAAAAAGGGGAAAGGTCATTTCCCCAGCCTTCTGGTATTCTCAAAATTACAGAAGTTCAGCAAGGTTTTTCCCTAGGCCTGCCTGGCGACCACAGAAGCACAGTTAGGGGTCCCCTGCCCTGAACCCCCCAGCGAGTGAGCGAGGCCGGGCCCTGCGGCTGCTCCCTGTTCCCAGCTGTCCAGCGACCCCAAGGCAAAGGCCCGCAGAGCCACCCGCCGGCTGCCCCCAGGCTCTAACAGACCGGCATCTCTCGCTTCTCCTCCAGCACGCCTCCTTCCTGCTGGCCCTCCTGGTGCTTCTGGTCAGGACGGACGGACGGCGGTCAGGGAGCCACACGCACCGCAGCCACCCCCACCGGCACGCCCACTGCTTCCACGCTGAGGAGCTGCAGAACGCAGAGGTGCCCCCGATGTTCCAGAGGAGGGCTGCCCGGTGGACGCGCCACATCGCCCTGCAGATGGTGCCGGCCCTTGAGAGCGAGCAGGCCGGCGCCCGGAGGCAGCGGAGACACCCGGAGGCCACCTGCTCCGACTTCAAGCTCCAGGACCTGCTGAACAAAGACATCAATGAACGCTCCATCTCGCCCTGGAAATACAAGTAAGAGCCCCTTGTCAGCACCTGGGGGGTGGGGGTGGGGGGGCAGAAGGGTGGACTGAATGTCCTGAGCCGACCTCTAGAGGGACCACAGCTTCCATCATCCCCATTCACCTTCAGAAGGACTGTGATTGAACATACAGGGGGAGCAGCTGGCTGGATATTTAAAAAGGGCACCCCTGGATTCTCTTCCCCTGCTCCATAAGAGAAAGGGGCAAGGGACCCCCAGGGCCTCCTGAGAGGCTGGATCGGGCCCACTCTTCCAGAGCTTGTATTCCTTCCTGCCACCACCCTATTCTCTGGGGTTGCGCCGTTCTCCCAAGGGCCCAGAGACCAGAAGTGGGAGCCTCAAGCCGAGCGGTGTGGCCGTTTTTGGGTCCCGTCCTGTCCCCTCGGTGGCCACCCACCCCTGGCACCCGGCCCTTTGGGTTTCCTGCACTTGCCATGAAGCGAGATCAGGCAGAGAGTCCCCCCCCCCCCATTTCTCAGGCGTATCTTTGAACCCTCGCCCGACTGTGGCTGCTCTTGAACGTCTCTCCCTTCCCGGAGCACCAAAGGAGCCCACAAGGTATCCTACCAGAAGTCATGGAGTTCGTGGCCCCTGAGCTTGCCTCGGTTTCCCTCCTTTAAAGGAAAGGATTTCTTGAGCCTGTGGCCACCCAAGGGCTCTGGGAGGAGGCAGGGTCGGTCCAGGGTGGCGGCAGTGGGAGGGTGGTGCTGTAGGGCTGTGCTCGGAGACCCACACCTAACGCCCCCCACGCCTGCTTCCTCCCTCCGCTTCTCTCCTGCAACAGCATCGACGAAGACGCCGACCGCTACCCGCGCAAGCTGGCCTTTGCCGAGTGCCTGTGCAGGGGCTGCATCGACCTCCGGACGGGCCAAGAGTCCTCCTCGCTCAACTCCGTGCCGGTCCAGCAGAGCATGATGGTGCTGCGGCGCAGGCCCTGCCAGCGCGAGGACGGCGCCCCCGGCTTCTCCTTCGAGGTGGACTACGTCCCCGTCCCCGTGGCCTGCGCCTGCATCCTGCCCCG